GGAAAAGTTTGTCAAGAGTTTGGGCTAGACCGCAGAGATATACCACAGTTAACATACTGCCACAGCAGGCGAAGAGCTTGTTCCTAGCAGCAGGTTGTAATCTTAAGGATGCTTGTTTGCATCCTTAAGAGCGATCCTGTGGTGCCTTTGAAGAGTCAGATCTTTTTTGTTGATGGCATTATGTGCTGTAGATGATAACATATTAAAAGTCTTCACAATTTTACATTGAGGAGCATTATTCTGAAACTGTTTCACAGTTTGTACAATTTTTGTTTGTTTGTTTGATGAACCTGTGCCCAGCTTCAATTTGAGTTGTTTTTTCATTGATGTTAATGATAAGCTAATAATGGCACATCTTGTTAGCTCAAGATGATATGTTTTCTGTTCTATTATGAATTAAATCGGAAATTATTACTGTAAATCAATGTGTTCTGTTTTATTTACATTTTTAACTATTAATTTTAACTAAACGTTAACCAAATAAATAACTCAATAAGGTAAACCTAATCCAAACCAAAACAAATACAGTAAAATACAATAAGACCAGTACTGTGCAAAAGATCTGAGCCACCCCTCATTTCCCCACTTGTTTGGAAAGCCAGAAATATCAGTATTGACTCTACTGAAGCGTCAAAACCTCACAAACAACTGTATGTGTCAAATATGATACTCTAGGCGTCAACGGCATTACGAGATGAAATAACAGATTCTATGTTATGGGTTGCAATGTAGAGAGTTATTGCACAAGGTATAGAAATTTTCCTGTATCTGTCCTCGTTGCAGTCAGTCAGTTAGAGAAAGTGCAGCACTAACTGTCCAGTATAGGTGCAGAGGGTGGCCAGGATTGTCCATTATGGACAGTTTGTTTGCTGACTGCCTCTGCACCATACCTGTCCAGTTTGCAGAAATAAACAGTGGCTGAAATACACGTTGATTTTTTTTTTTTTTTTTATTCTTTACAGTTAACAGTAAATTCTGAATTGCTTTTCTCTTTGTTTAGCAGTAATTTAACTGATCTCTTTTTGGTTTGACCTTTTTAGCAGGTCAGAGCTAAAACCCTAACAGGGAGTGATTCCCTGGTTGCTCATTCCTCCTGATCTCCAACAATAAAGTCAATGTTGAACTGGTATCAGCAGGTGTACGATGGGTCAGGCAGTGAAACTCCTGCTGTCCTCCTCTCTGTCCCAACACGCACACGGGTTGACCTGTCCCCTCATAGCCTGCAGATGTCGCTGTTGAGACTACTTTCCAAAAAACAGAGAAATATTATTTAATAAATTAAATATTTAGTGTTCCTCTTGTCTCTTCAAAGATAGCAGAATAGTAACTTCCTGCACCTTGTTGGACCCATCAAAGTGTTACATCATTTACTGTTTATTGGCTAAAAACGAGATATTTTGACCTAATAGCTATGCTAATATCAGCTAATATGATATGACAATATAACAGGTAAGAATGCTTTCTACTTCTTGTCAGTAATCTTGTTCTTACCAATAGCAACAGAAACAAAAAAAGAAGGAAAAAAAAAAAGTACCTGACATCATATTTGTCTGTAGTAGTTGTATTTATGCAGGATCTTGATTGTCTTTAAAAATATATTTTCACCTATAAGAGAAAATGTTTTGTGTGACTTGCAAAACAGTCATGATAATCAGGAGTGTAGCACAACCCTGGGCTCTGGTCTTCATATGCCCTCTATTTTTATTCATATTCAGTCATGCATCTCTCTCAAACAAATAATTGAGCATGTACAACAATCTGTAATGGTCCTTAACGTAGCCAGAAGTGAACTTTTTACTGTCATGAACTGCAGGACTGACAACCCACATACAGACATATAGAGGCAGAATGTAATAATTAAAATAAGCCTTTGTTATGGCTGGTAAAATTCCACCGGGAAAATAAACTAACACAAAACACAGATGGGAGGTGAACAGACACACAAGGGCTGAGGAGAAGACAGCGGTGTTTATGTGCGAAACTTATGAAAAGATAATCAGGGAATTGGAGCTGGAGGGTAGCAGGACACAGGTGAAAATAATCATAGACAATAAGATAGGGGGCAGGAAGTCAAATTAAACACAAAACACTAAAGTTAAGCAACTATTAAAAAACAAAAAACAAAACAGGGTCATACAGATACATGACAAAACTTAGAGGGAACTGACAGGAGGGTGAGACAGGGAACAATGAGGGGAAAATGCAAACTGGAACTAACACTTAAAAGCTCTGCATAAATAAAAATCAAGGAATAACCTTTTTTTAAAAAAAAAAATGAATCAGTTATTTTTAGATGTTCATTCTTTGATTCTCAAAGTCCAAGAAAGTCAGGGACTGTGACATCTACAATATGCTCAGAAGTGAGAAGACTTCTCTCCACATTTGTCATCAGATTGAAGCCTACAATTACTTTACTCTCCTCATTCTCCTCATCACCCTCAGGGTAACCTCCATTATGTTCTCTCTCTCTTTTCACTTCCATCATCCTCTATCACATCTTCTTGTTACACAGACAGACCCTCTACAAGAAGGAAGCACAAAGGACTGTTATTAGTCTTGTAACCTGCTCATGGCTTCATCCCGTTTTCAATCTTTTTGGTGCTAAAACATCAGAGGTCAAACCAGGTCATCAGAACACATGTAGCCACACAGTATTTCAGTAATACAGTGTGACTCAGTGGCTAGGAATACATTTAAATAACCTAAATGGTCTCTTTGAGACCCAAGACACAGCACAGCACTATTTCAAGGTGGTAGGAAGGAGATAGGAACTTAAATATAACCACTTGTTACAACCAAAGTTTGCAGAAGAGCATCTATGAATGCACAACACATTGGACCTTTCTGGACTATTGCAGCAAAAGACCACAAACTCATGTAAGCTAAGAACAGGTAATGGAGGCTACAGTTTGCATGTTTTCATTGTTAAAAAACAAACATTATCTGGTCTAATGAACAATGATTTCTGGTGAAAGGTTCAGATGATAGGATCACAAATGTGGTGTAAATGACACGAAAGCATGGATCCATCGTGATGTGGGTCAGTGGTTCAGTCTGCTAACTGTAGTGGTGTAATAGTGTGTGGGGTTTTTCTTGGTGCACTTTAGGCCCCTTAGCTCCAGCTGAGCATTGTTTAAATACCACAGCCTCACTGAGGGTTGTTGATGACCATCCCTTCACGACCACAGTGTACCCATCTTCTGGTGACTGGTTCCAGAAGGATAGTGGTCCACATCACAAAGTTTAAGTCATATCAAACTGGCTTGTTGAACCTGGCAGTGAGTTCACTGTACTCAAATGGCCTCGGCAGTCACCAGTTCCCAGTCCAATAGACCACATTAAACTGGGATGTGCTGAGTTTAATGTGGACCAATATCTCTGAGGAATTTTTCTGGACCTTTTTGAACCAAAGACACAAAGAATTAAGGCAAAATGAGGCTGCAGCACTACTAACAAGATATACAGACAGTGTGGGAGTAAAACTTAGGTAGCTGCTCTCTGTTGTGTGGGAATATGTATATGGTTAAACCTATGATGGGTCCAATGAGGTTACAAGTGTGCAAAAGAAGAAAACCCATGTTTCAATAATTTTGATTTACAATTTTTTGTTGTTTTTAGTGGAACACCATCTGTACTGAAAAGCACATGACTGTATCAACATAAGCTACCCTGTATTTGCCTTCTGTTTTCCAGTCATGTGAAGAATCCTTTACCTGCATGAAGCAGGTATTATACAGAAGGAGGAACTCCAACTATTTCTTACACACATATAAGCCTTGAAAAAAAAGTTGTGTTTTGTGTCTTTCGGAGGACGATAAATCATTGCTGCTTTTTCCACTTAGTCAAATATGTGTATATTTCAGCTTCAAATCGAGACATTTGTAGTTTTTAAAACAAGGACATACATCTCCATTCGCAGTCTCTGTCTCCCTCTAGTGTCTACATGTAATATAGGAGCAAACGTCGAGATGCAAGTTTGTTATATGCTTAGTACAACTGTGCAAGTCATCATTTTTTTAATTTTCTGAACTAAAGTGAGTGCTTTTAGCTGAAAGCAGAATAGCAGAGGGAGGCATTCTTTCTTGTTATTTGATCAAGTACATGTGACTTCTAAAGTTGTTGCTTTTTTGTTTGTTTGTTTGTTTTTTTGAAAGAGAGAAGGATTTTAGGATTTTATTCATAGTCAAAATGTTACTCTGTAAAGTAACTTTAAAGGAATACTTTAGTCGTTTTCACTCACTGATAATAATCCTGCTAAGAATCATTTTGCTGTATTCAGCTAAAATAGTTCTTTAACTGTTTATACAATAAATTCCAAAAGTTCCAGAATGCCAGTTTCACTTTCAATTAAATAATTATTTCTAATACGTTTTTATGTCTTATGTAAAAAAAAAAAAGGGTGATGGCATTGCGTGATAATAGATGTCCTTCTCCAAAGATGAATGTTGTATAATGTAAAAGCTATGCTTTGTCTTGGAAACAATAATAAAGCATCACTAAGCCATGTAATAACGTCAGATGGGCTGTTTATACATTGTAAATTAATATGTCTACAACAACAAAACCTTGTAGACATTTATTATGATGGAATTCTTGGTCTGGGTCAAAACGGACCCGAAACATACCAGGCATCGAGTTTGAAAGGGTTATGTATCTGCATTTACCGGGCAGGTAGCCAGCAGCTGCAGCAGGTACATATTGCTTTTGGCCATAAGATGTCACTATAAAATTAAAACAATCACAAGCCAGTGGCAGGAACTACAGTTTATTTTTTGTACCCATACTAATTTTACATACGCAGGTAACACTTCATTCAACTATCATAAAATCGCTGTTACACACTATCTATTAGTTTTTACCGAGTATAGTATAACTGTTTAAATGATTAATGCACACGATTTTAATTGAGGGTTTTTAGAGATATGGTCATCATTACGTTAATAGAGTTAGAAAGTGCAACATCAGTGCTTCAGTTAACATGATGGCAAAAAACCACGTAAAATGGGTATTTTGTTTATGAATGACATTAAAAACAAAAAATGAGGCATTACTGTTCATTATTGTTCGAGCTATTTGGAGCATGGTTGGCACACCGTGCCAGGACAGAGTGGGCTATTCCTGGTGAGGTGGAAGGTGCTCTTATTTTGAAGCCACAGAGTATTATAGAAACCATGCCTTTTATTTTGAAGTTCCGTATCTCCGGCTCTCCGGGCACGGGCAAGGAGAGAGAGTCGCAGGCAGAGGTAAGCCAGAGACGGTACGGTGTGGAGCTGTAGCTACGGTGTCAGCGGCAAGTATGAGAGGAGACAAGTTTACAAGCTGAAGCTGGCTGATTGACAGCCTCTGTCGCATTCTGTGGAGGGACCACTCGTACCGGCGGACGTCGAGAAGTCGCGGTGTAGCCTGTGCGACTAAAAAAACCTAAACTAAACCTTTAAAAACAACTGGTGGACACACGGGGTTTGTGGATAGACGTTGGCAGCGGCGGCGGCAGGAGCAGGGAGAGAGTGTGAGTGCTTTGGCGGCGTTCCCGCTGCTAGAGAAACATGAACAAAAACCACCGAGTGCCGAGCAGCCGTTCTCTGAATGCAGTGGAGGTGAAGAGCAAGGTGGGTACGGACACTTATTTGTCAGGTATCCTTCCAGTGTTTGTACTCCAGACAACCTTCGTCCTCATTAAATCCACTCTTGCTAATTTAGCCTGCTAAAGAGGCTTGATAGCGGGTTATTATGAAGCAAGGCTTATAAACTTTAAGAGGAGCTAACAGTTTTGGTTTTTTTCCACTGTGACCACCCGAGAATTTGGTTACAATTCTTAAAACTTTATTGGTAACCGTGGCGTAGTTTTTTGGTCGTTTTACGTCTAAAGGCTAGCTAGTTTGTGACAAGGTGGAAGGTTTTTGTCAGCTGACTGCGCAGTGAGCCAGTGTCACCTGTCACAGCCTTCTCCGCTGTACTCTCCTGCTCGTTTACCGAGTACTGACTTCAAGTTTGACCCAACTCTTTAACTTAATCAAATCTGCGTGAAAAGTTTACTCAAATTACCAAAAGTTTATGTCAAATTACCTCGGTTAAAGGTGATAGTCGTTGCCTGTCGCGTTATTTGCCTGCGGTTACAGGTGTCACACGGCCTGCGTCAGGCTCGTGGCTCCATCCGCGCCCTGCTGAGGCTTGACCACACATAAGTGTAATGAATAATGACTATATTGTTCTAGAAGTTTTTGCACGCGTCGACACAAGCTGTCAAATATTTTCAGCTACAGCACTAATTTTGCCTCCCTACAGTAGTGCAATAGCTATTGTTATTATTTACTCAGCTATCCCGGGTTATTTAAATTCTTTTGACTCTTCTGAGTTAAGATTGTCTTCCTTATGTCCCCAACCACTTATTAAATTAACTCTGCTTTGCACTGATGCATAAAATAACTGATTAAGCTGGGAGATCATCTTTTGTCAGCGCTGAGCAACAGTAACCACAACAGCTGGTACCTCTCACTAACGCTACCAATGAGGCATTGTGCTCTGTCTCAGCTACAGAGCTGCCTAAAGATTAGGCGTCCAGAGCCATTGATCCAGTCAGTCCACAGGCTTAAACGGGTAAACCAGCAACATGTTTGTGGGGATTGCTGAAAGCACACTGTCTTTGTAATAGCTGCAGGATAAATATTCTGTGAGGTAGCTTGATAAAAGCTTTATCTGCAAACCTAGAGATACACAAAACACGTGAATAATTTACCACACGTGGTGTGCTTTGGCTTACGCATCAGTACAAAGTAGGCTTATCAGGCACTGTTTCATACCCTGGTTTCGGCCATACGTCACACCTGTGTGTGTATTTGTGTTCATTTGCAATCACATGTGAACGCCTTTCTGCCCCATCCCAGTTTGGTGCAGAGTTTCGTCGGTTCTCTCTGGAACGGTCCAAGCCAGGCCGCTTCGATGAGTTCTACGGTCTCCTGCAGCACGTGCATCGCATCCCCAATGTGGAGCTGTTGGTGGGCTACGCTGACGTGCACGGTGACCTGCTGCCCATCAACAATGACGACAATTACCACAAGGCCATCTCCACAGCCAACCCTCTACTCAGGCTGTTCCTCCAGAGGAAAGGTATGCACAGAGGAAGTGTTTGGACAAAGTGTCCCAAGTTTTCATTTGTTTGCTTGGTTACACCTGCTTTGCATTGGAAATGCAAATACAGTCATTAGCATTGAAAAGCACAGCTTATAAATATGTGATAGGCTATTGACTATAGCTGTGACAGAGTTATAAAAACTTAAGTGTCACTTTACATTGTCAGTTTTTAGGCTACTTGTTGTATGTTGCCATGTTCAGCTAAACAAACTACTAAACCGCTGGCCTCTATTTTTTTCCTTATTGATTTCTAGTTAACTAAGGTTAGGGGCCTTTTCAATTCAATTCAATTTTATTTATATAGCGCCAAATCACAACAAAAGTTGAGAGGAAGAATGCACTTGAAATGAGGAGCTGAGCAAAACAACAAGAGTAGACGAATGGAGTTCACTTTGAGTTTGTCCAGTAGACTGTTCTGTATTGCAGCTTGGTAGCTGCATGGCAATTATTTTTTTACGTGTCTGACTGTTTTGGAAATACGGGTTTCAAGTATTTCGAGCAGTGTTTCTGTAAACACTGCTGCTGCAGTTTCTAACTTCCTTTGCTGGCTCTGGTGTAATCATTGCCAATATTTCTGCCATAATTGCTCTGCTTTTGCAGTTCCCCTTGTAGATAAGTTTTTTATCTTTTAGCTAATAAAGGAAGAAGTTGTGGCTGCTCTAAATTCATGCTCTCAAGTATGGCTTACCTTTATTTCATGTGTATGATTACTGCAGGTCTTACTATATCAACCTTGGTGTCTGATATTGGCATATTGCCAATTAACATGGCATTTACTGATGTCAGTGGTCGACATTAATATGTTCTGTCTCCAAGATTTCACACGAGCTAAGTGATTGTGTTACAAAAAACTGAAAGGGTCAGGTTTTTTTTGTTGTTGTTGTTATCATGGAGTAAATGAGGTATAAGCAAGAGCAAAAGTAAAGTAAATAGATTTGAAAACAAAATGCTGCTGTTGGCCCATAATTTCACAATCAGTGTATCCATAGTGATTACATAAACATGTTTCTGTCAGAGTATGCGTACAAAGGTTTAACCTCTCCTTTGATTTTGGAGTGTATTCCTAATCACTAAGTTGCTAAATGTGACCTGTTGAATGTGGGGAGGACCACAGGGTCTGCCTGTGCCTGTTGTGTTTAAGCCTGTGCCATATGACCCTATAGAAGCTAAGCCACTTTGTCAGAAGAAGATTAGTGGGGTCAGTGTGTATCGCTGCATGGGACTGTGTTTCAATTACATGCTCCAGACACTAGCCCCACACTGGGCTCACTGCTGCTCGCATGAAAACACCGCCTCGGCAGGAATCCCAGCCAGAACAAAAACAGAAGACAGACGCATTAATGCAGTCATAACCCCCTGCAGACCCCCTGACCTGAAACCCTGGTTTCCCTCCTGATTTGTCAGCAGGGAAACCCCCTTACTTTACCGTTAAGCACCAGTTGGTCTGAACATATAAAGCCGTGCATTGTGTGGAAGCAGCAAATTCGCAGCTTATAGATAATTTATTAAATCATATATCTGCAGGCACTGGATCTCATCTCTGATGATGGCTCTATAACAGGTTAATGGCTTGTCCATGTTGGGGCCAATGCGGAAGCTTTTTAACACTCAGTGCTTGTTTATCTGGAAAGCTTCTTACATCTTTTAGAACCCCGATCTTTTTGAAATGAGATGTCTTGTGTTCCATTTTGGATAAATAGTATTACTGAACTTAATGATCTTGTTACCATATCTGCATGTGACCCAACAGCCAAATGAAAAATCTTCATATGAACAGGTAGTTATAAATAGCATAAGGATCATGAGGTCATGATCCCTACCACAGTGTTTAGTTGTGTTTGTGTTTAGTGTACCTCACTGCATCAGTTCAGAAGTTTAGCAGTCCAGTCATCAGTTCAGTTCGAATGCTATTAGACTTCTGTGTCCTTTAAGACTGCAACTGAGTAATTATGTAAATGTCTCAGTCAGATGTGATGTGATTGGTCATTATTGCATAAGAGCAAGGCTTCAGACAAAGTAGCAGTGGGGGCCAAATTATGTTCCAACTAGGCTGGTGTGGAATAGTGCAGTGAAATCCTGCTGAACTTGGACTGGGAAAGAAAACTTGGAGCTAAAAGAACAAAAAACTGCCCACAATCTCCACATTCAGTGATTTGGATGATTTGTGTGTTTATTTTAAAAGTGTGTCTAGTCTGTGCACTGTAGAGCTCATGCGTATAATGAGGGTTATTTTTGGCACTGAATTTTATTTGTCTCAGAGACTAAATCTAGGCTGTGTATACCCTAGGCTGGGCGCTTTAGGTTTCATCCACTCGTCAGCGTGCAGATGGTTCGATGGATACTAGGCTGCAACTGTATGTTGTTGTCTGGTTGTTAAATAATGGCTACATTGTTGTTTTTCTGCCTCTGTGCTATTCAGCCATTAATGTCTTATTGTTCACTGCTGAGAAATGGCTGAAATGTTTGTGCCTCTGTTTTTGACTACTGGTCATTTTTGAAATCGCTTCAACGCACAACAAATACAACCCAGCAGCACTGGGTATTCCCTGACACCCTCCACCCCCACCCCTCCATCTGTGAACAATGTGTTGATGACTGTTGGGCTGGCAGTGAGTTGTCCACTGTTTACTGGTTGTCATGGCACCCCTAAAGAGGCCTGCTCATAGGTGGATTAATGCTGCAAAGCATGCTGGGAGCATGATTGCTAGCATTTGCAAAGACTGTCTTTGTTGAGGTTTTTTGACGACTTCACTTGTTATTAATATATCTCATGCAGTTGTAACTACTTAGAGGTGTGTCTCTCTCTCAGAGACTATGTATAAATGATAATGGGTAAAGTTGGGTTAAAGTGAGTGAGTTAGTGATTAATGCTATTAGTTGTTCTCATGTAAGCACTTTCTGTCTTGGTTGCTGACAAAGTGCAGCTTTTGGTTTCATTTAGGCTTTTTGTAGCATGTGCAGCCATGTAGGATGGTGCACTGTTCTGCTGGAGGAGACAGCTGCCATCAAGGAGTGTTGCTGCCATAAACAGGTGTGCCTGGTATGCACAATAATTAGATGGGTTGTATGTGCCAAATTAACAGTTTTATGAATGCCAGATTTCCCAGCAGAAACATTATACTCCAACCAGATAAGCAACAAGATAATCAGCCTGTTTCACGTCACCTCTTAGTGGTTTTAATTCAGTGTGTAGCCTAGCCTGTACTACATTATTAACCTAATACCACCACTCTTGTAAAGTAGTAAAACAAATTGTGCACTGATGTAGGTGTATTTGCAGTAAGACCGTTTTAGCCAGTACATCTGCCTGGATGCCTCATTATTGTAGCTCTGTTTTACATTTTCAGAAGCCCCAGGATGTACTCCAGTTTATAGTTGGGTTGCAACTTGCTCAACAAAATGATGTGCTATTTCAGTGGTTTTGTTGGCCTGTGTATATTGAGTTAGCATTATTATTAAATACTTCTTTTCAGGGAAACAGGAAAATGAGACACACGTTCAGCCTTGTGTTTAATTGTCTTTAAACATGGCTGACAGAAGAAGTTCTCCCTCAGTCTGACAACATGTTTATCTGTATCAGTCATCCAGAACGCCCTTTGTGCTTGTATGCACACAACTTTCAGAGTGTCCAGGTTGTCATCCATGTAGCAGTAGCAGCTTTCAGGCAATCCCAGGGTGTGTGTTTGTTCAGTGATGTTGCTCACTGCTCTCACAGTTTCAGCTCCTAACTCTTATCCATTAATGTAAAGGGGAAAGGTATAGGGAGGGACAGAAACGACTGTATTTGTGTTTCCCAGCAGGGATTGCCTTTTAATTAGTAACCAGTGAATGAGTCACCCAGCCAGAGATGGAATATGTTCAGTGTGAAAGTACACCTAGCCTGCAAAACATGCAAAGTCTCTGAATATGATAAGAACTTGAACCTGAATCTGCTCGGCACTGACAGGGAGTGATAATGAAAGTGCACTGAGACAGACATGGAGTGGGAATGTGACATTCATAGAAGAAGAAAGGAGAGATAGACTAAGCATAGGATTTCAGATTAAGTAAGGACACCACAACTAAAGAGATGCACTTTTACTGTGGGTTTGAATAGAAAGGATATGCTGAAGAGAGATATGGTGGCAGGTGTGAAGGATGCCATTTCCCTGAGGAGCTCTTTCTGTAAAAATAACAGAAATTAGCCACCCTTGATCTGGATGTGAGGTTTTCTACAGTGCATGATGTATTCCCCAGGATGCTGTCTGTGATGAGTGAGGGGATGATGAATTTGTAGATCTTAAGGAAGAATGTGTGGAGGAGGAGCAGAACTTGAGCTTAATAAGAGATTGGAGGATGAAAGAGAGAGGGACAGTAAACAGTACTAAAGAGGGAGTAATGTATAAGGCTTTGTTTGGGCAATGCATGTAATTAGAGATGTGGGGAGATGAGAGGGAGTAGTGTTAGTGTGATCGGAATGCAACAAGAGGTAGCAAGAGAGGGAATAAGTGAGTGAGGGAAGAGGATAGCGGGAATAGTATTAGTGAGGGAGGAATGTAGAGTGAGGCCCACGCTGGGGAGGGTGGGCGAGAGAGAAAGAAATGGAAAGGAAGAAGGGAGGAAGATTGAACGGAGGGGGGTTTGGTGGAATGTGGCCAGCTTCTGATCACGTCTGCTGGCTAGATTAGACAGGACAGCAGGCCAGGCTGGACCCTCAGCTCCACAGCTCAGCTCAGTCAACAAGGTAGACAGAGGAAGAGCAGAGAAAGGATAAGGAGATCAAATAAAAGTAAGCAGGGACATGGAGGACAGAAATGAGAGAGGTGAGCCAGATCCCTGCTCGGTCTCTCCTTTGAAACCTGACTGAATGAGACTATGCAGGCTGCAAGCAGATGGAGGAAGAGCAGTGGTGACAGCAGGAGGCCAGGCTCTGTTATATAGAGGCTGTCAGAATTCTCAGCTTAGGGTTGGTTAAGGAAGATGAATGAATAAATGAA